CTACTCACCTCTACGTTAGCCAATTTCTACAACCCAACCCAAACAACCCCTCGTCTCAAGTTATTTCTAGGTGAGACCGTCACCGCAGATAACTATCCAAGCATCATTGCCCTCACAAATAATTTTCTTGTCAGTTGACCTCCTCAAAAAACTCACAGATCGAACCTCACTTCTTCCATCTACTTCAAAACGGGTAACCTAATTCTCAGGGAACAGTTTTTACTCTACGAGAGTCAACTTCCATCTCAAAGCAACCTCTCTTCCCCAGTTATTTCTACTTGAGTTAGCCACTTCTCACAACTAACGGAGTAATTACTCCTCACTAAACATGAAGTCGTAGGCTTCCGCGGCCAGAGTCATGTGCGTGATCTTGGCTGTCCGAGTGCCGCCGCGTCGAAGGCTGTGTTGCCAACGTTTCGATCGTCTTGTCATGGTCACACACCATCCCTGAGGAAGACCACGACAAGATGGTCGAAAGGTCGGCAACACAGCCTTCAACGCGGCGTCACCCGGACAGCCAAGATCACGCAGCTCACTAAACGTTCACGTCAGCCTACCTCGGCACTTAGATTCAGTCTTCATCACTCCCATCTAAGTCAAAGAGACGCACACCTCATTCTACGTCAGACAACCAAATCACAACCAACGCGAAGCCACTTGATCATTCTCTGCACACCAACTCAGAGCAACCACTTCTCACAGTTCTTCTCTATACAGAAGGGTTGCCATGTGTTCTCCTTTTTTAACATTACCCTTCTGTCCTCCCTACTTTTTTAAAATTTACATGAATATCCTCCGTTCTGTCCTGTTGAATTGTAAATAAAACTGACATAATTTTAAAGTAAATTAATTCATTAAAGGGACTTCATATCTTGAATATGTACATGATATAATAGGTCTGTATAATAGGTCATTGGGCTTATTGTGATATAAAACTTATTTATGCTTATTGTTTGGTGAATAATAAAGGTGTGTGCGGGGGCGAAGTTATCCAATTGCAAGCTTTCATTTTTAATGACGCAAAGCCTAATATGCTTTCAAACGCTATTAATAGTTAGGAATTATTGAATACATTGTCTATACACTGTGGAATATAAAAAAATATAAAATGCCGTACTTTTCATTGAAATGTCATTTATTAAGTAAAATGTCCTCCATTGGGAAAACAATATCTAGTAACCCTGCAATACAGGCTGATTCAAAACTACCTTCGTTCTTCATAACGTGAGCGGAACAATGATAACTCGAGGATGAAATCTTACTTTTGCCAAAATGAAAAACGTATTCCCGCCAACCAAGAACGATAGGAAAAAACTGTCGATATTCACTGTCAGATGCCGTCGTCTTGAGGTTACAAAAGAGAAACAGACGTAATCAAATCAAAGGTTTTGAAGAAGTGATGAAAGTGCCCACTTAGCGTTCTGATCCCGCGACATTCATTATTTCATATACCGGCGTCGTAACCGGACAATTGGGGTCTAATGTGTCACAGGTTGTGCCTCGTACGTACAGTATTCTACGTCAACACATTCTTGTTTTGATAACACTGGCCAACGACCAAAAAAAACCTTTTGTGTATGTTCACCTAATTCTGATAGTTTTAAGTGTGTTGATTCCAAACATTATATTAAAAATTCCGTATTACACACCATTTGTTCACATTTTAACATTTTCTCTCTATAGCTAGGCAAATGCAACTCCGAGACTTTAGAAATGTGTGAGACGCAGAAAGTTAGAATGAGAAAGTGTTGGAACGAGGGGGAGGGTGATATACGCTTTGGTAAAATATTTCTACGTTGTGATCCCTTCAACTACCGCGCATCGATAGGCATGGCGATTTCAAAATTATAATCTTCTATGTTGTATCCTAAAGTTATTTGTTATTCTCTAACATTACACAATTTCATTTAAAATTGAAACGAAAATATTAAATAATGAAAATATTAATCTTGAACATCATGAATATCTAGACCATGTGACTTGTTCCGTCTCCAAGGTCGTCTCTCCATCTTCTTGTGGGTCGACCTGTATCTAGAGTTCCTACGGGAGTGAAGTGGAGGAGCTTATTTGTAGTATCTCGCTAATCGTCTGTTGGAAAAAATGGAATCAGTTCTCTTTTCTCTCTTCCATTCTCATATTGAGAGTGAACATTTTCAATTAATTTCTTATGTCTTTGCTTTTTATGTGGCCCAGAAATGTATATGTTGCATCATGTTTTAGAAATCTCATTTCAGCAGTCTCATTTTTTCCTTCTGTATGAGCGGTTCATGTTCCAATTTTCGCAACGTCATTATCGCAATCTATTCAAGTATAGGAACCGCCATCATTCTATAAAAGTGTTGTATTCTTCCAACCCTTATTTAGTTTTCTTTCTATTTCAAATATTATTCCTTGCAAAAATTGTTTGGATATCTGCATAAAGGTACAATTTACGAATAAAATTTTATTTGAAGGGCATCGCTTAAGTTTGGTGACATACCTGAGGGACAAGGATAAGTAGTAGCTGAAAGTAGGAATCAAGTATGACACGAAACGTTCACCAAGAGATCACAATCCAGAAGCTTCAGAATATTTTTATGTATATGAACACTTTTAAAATCTAAGGAAAACCCTTTATAGTTTTACAAAAGAAATGTTGTTTTATACTACAAAACATATGGGTGAAGAAGCTCAGTTAGCAAGTAACAGCAAATAGTACTCATCTCTGCTAAAACCTTCAAACGAAAAACACTTTACATATCTTTGTACTAGAAGTGCGAAATTACTCTCAATTCACGTAGTTTTATCTTCATTCCCAATTTTATTTGTTAAATATGTTTACTAAGTAATCAAATTTTTATTTTGTTTCAATTTTATTCGCCAATTTACAGTTCAATTGCAAATAAAACTTACTAACTACTATTTTTTAAAATTTTATTCATCATATTACAATTTGATGGCAAGTTAAATTTGTTGTTCAGATCTAAATTAGCGATTTAAAGAATTGTGAAAATTATTAAATTTGAAAAATTATAAATTATGCAAATAAACCAATCAAAGTACGTTTTGCAGTTTTTAAGTGATTAACAAGTATCTATTAAATACACCAGAAATAATGCAAAACGAATATGACGAGAAAATTTGCTTCCAACATCCACTAAATGCAGTGCAGTATTTGGCAGAAAGATGGCGCCTAATGATTACTTACTATTGCAAGCAGTTCAGCAGTAGGCCGACAGATGGCAGTTCCATCACAAATTTTCGTTTCTTTAAAGGATAGATACGAGAGATGTTTTTATTTGCGAGATGACGTGTTTTGTTTCTTTCTTAAAATACAGAAATTTGAAATAAAAAGCAACATTTAGAGCTGAAAATGATAGGTTTGAAAACTGGAGAAGGATTTTATTTTCATAATAATTGACTTTATGTTAAATTTGAAATGGTATTTTACCATTAACATTTCATTTGGGGTCTAAATTGTAACAAAAATACTTTGTAAATGTTCGTCGATATTTTCAGTATTAATATTTTTGTAAAGAAAAATAATTCTCTCTTTAACTCTTTTCGTTCACGAAATAATTATTCTCTGTTTATACTGTTTTAAATATTTTATAAAATATCTGATTACTTTTAAAGATATGTACGTTAATGATTGTGAAACTGAGATTGTAAAGTAGAAATGCCATTTGATATTGGTTTTACATGGTTTGATATTGGTAAGACATTTTTTAACATTATTTAGATGCCTAGACGTGACTTTCATAAAATACAAAATACTTGGGATGCCTCTATAAAATTCGACTCTTATAATATTGGTATTAGTAATTGAAAATGGTTTGGTGTTCGAAGATATTAAAATACTTTTGCGAGAAATTGGTGAAATATATGTAAGGGGAAGTTAATATCTCCAATAGTAACGGAGATTATCACAAAAAAGGAATAAAGCGTGAAAAATTAATTTGCTTGGATGCATATTATATGCCTAAGAACACTACGAGTTATTTATCGACGTCGTACAAAACACAATGTTTCAGAATAAATGTTACAAACGTCCAGAGCATGTAAAGGGGTCAAACGTGTTCACTGATTATAAGTAATGAATAATTATTAAGGATCGAGAAGATATGAACCACAAAGTATATTACAATATACATTTAATATAAAGAAACAGCCATACACATGTTTTGGGACTAATTATCCCATCTTCTGTGGATCTACAAAGATTAAATTATTATAATTACCATATGAATTGAAATAAATAAACACAGGGAGTCAAATGAAAATTTAAAATATATAGAAATATAATATATTCACTGTTCATTTGTGTCCCTGTGCATACTTATATCAGTTCATATGCTAACTATATTTGTAAACTTTTCATCTTTGTAGTGACACTGAAGATGGAATGATTTATCCACATGTGTTTGGTTGTTATTTTTTATATTAAATTTGTATTGTTATATACTTTGTGAATGATATCTCCTTAACCCTTAATTAATAATCATTATGGATTACCATAATATCTCTGCTGTCACCACCTAATCTATTAAAAATGATATCTTATAGACCGTGAACTTTTAGGGAAAAATTCCATATAACGGAGTTTCAAATATGGCATTTGCCTCTGAAAGGCAACGTAGTCGGCAGGTCACGTTCTGACGCAGTCAGAACCGCGAAATACGACACGACATAGCATAAACGTCATAGCATAAAAAGCAGCGACAAATGTGTAACTGATAGTCAGATTTTTCCACTACATGTTCATTAACTAAACGTTTTTATATTTTTGACCGCTTTACATGCTCTACACTTTGATATATTTTTTCTGAGACTCCTGTATAAATGTGGATCAAATAAGAATGGTAAACCAGGAGTTGAGTTTACTGTGAATGACACTGAATGATTGTGCCCTTTTTGTGACCATCATGATAATGGATGCCCTGTCACGTGTTTGCAACAACTAATGCGTCGTGTTAATTCGAAGCCACTGCGGCGTTAGCGCAATGCAAATAAATTCTCAGCTATCCGGGAGACGCCGCGTCGTTGGCTGGGGTGCCGACGTTTCGCCTGACATGTCGCACGCTTCCTCAGGGCAGTGTGGGTTTTTGGTCACTGCCCTGAGGAAGCCTGCGACATGTCAGGCGAAACGTCACCCGGACAGCCGAGAATGTATGGATTCGAGCCGCGGAAGCTTACGTATACAATGCCAGTAGTCGTGCTCACCGAAGAGCAGGTCGGGGACGTAGGAGCCGAAGACGGCGGTGTGCAGGAAGGCGGAGGCGACGCGCCGGCCGCGGGCGCCGAAGGCCAGCTCCGCCAGGGCGGCGTAGGGCGAGCGGCGGCGGGCGGCCGTCCAGCGCGGCAGCGCCCCGCTCGCCAGCATCCAGCTGCGCCCCAGCAGCCGCGCCGTGTAGCCCTGCAGCGCCACCACCGCCAGCGCCAGCGCCGCGCCCGCCCACCCTGCAGCGCACACAGCAGCACACTCAGGCACTCTGGCACTCACAGCAACAGCCAATGGAAGCGATTCTGACGTCAGGTGGCACACTGGCACTCAGAGTAAGTGTCAATGGAAGCGATTCTGACGTCAGGTCTACGCTGGCACTCAGAGTAAGGGTCAATGGAAGCGATTCTGACGTCAGGTTGCACTCTGGCACTCAGAAAGAGTCCATGGGAGGGATTTGGACGTCAGGTCGCACTCACAGCAAGTCAATGGAAGCGATTCTCTCGTCAGGTTGAACTCTGACACTCGGAAAGAGCTCATGGAAGGGATTCTGACGTGAGGTCGCACACTGGCACTCAGAGCAAGAGTCAATGGACGCGATTATGACGTCAGGTCGCACACTGACACAGAAAGAGTCCATGGGAGGGATTTGGACGTCAGATCCACGCTGGCATTCAGAGCAAGAGCTCATGGGATAATTTATGACGTCAAGTCTCACACTGGTACTGGTGCGGAGCGAGAATTCATGAGATGGCTTGGGACGTCAACATACACACAGACAGCAGGCGGAGAAGAAGAGTCGCGAAAGAGCATCTGATGTCAGCACACACACTCACACTCACACACACACATACACAAACACACATTCAGACGCAGAGCTAGACCTCATAAATGCCTTCCTACGTCAGTACAACAAGTACTCCAACCCAGGGCAAGTATTTATGAAAGCGCTTCTGACGTCAACACACTCAAGCGCACAGCAAGGGTTCAGTGAAGGTTTTCTGATGTCTCTCTCAGGTTTAGAGGAAGGGATTGGGAACAGCACATATTTAACGCTAAGCATTGTAGAGTCACCTGCAATGCTCTGCTCTTTAGAATACATATTGCAAATTGGAGAACATTTTATGTTTTACATTTATAGAGCTAACATTATTAGCAGTAAATTTATGGTTTAAGAATAACAATATCAATAAATTATAATAATGACCACAGGATTACGATAATAATAATAATAATAATAATAATAATAATAATAACAATAATAATAATAATAATAATAATAATATACTATGGAACACTTCACCTCTCTTACGTATACATTTTTTCAGAAGGTGAATAAATACTACAATCGAATGATGCTCAATATATGTTTCACTCAAAGTCTCATTTACTCGTAATAGTGACATTGCACTGCCCTTTTTCTACATTCCAGTGTAGTCCACACACAGTCGCGTCACAGTGACCGCAGGATATGTGAATTCCCGCGAAGTTGGCAGTCCGTACGCGACCCAGGCCAGCACCACCGCTGCCCGTTCCCCTCCATTAATTAAAGCCGGCATTTGTTTGACGCATTTGACGCGTCGCAGTTCTTTGCGCGCCCGCCCGCGCCAAACGAACCGATGGGCCACGCGGCCACCGCACATGGTTTGTGCGTAATATCAGAGCGCGGGCTCCGCCGAAAGCTCGCATCGAATTTAATTTTGGCCCACATTACGCGCCACTTTCATTAGAGCGACTTAATGAACTTTTAAGGGCGGCCGCAGCGCTTCGGCGTGCGGGTGCCCCGGGCTGTTGTCCCGCTGACCTGGTGGTGGCGCTGCCTCCCACATCGACCGAGGGGGGGGGAGGCTTTTGGTATTGGCTTTTCTTGGCGGTTCTGAAATTACGGACGTTGCCATTTGGCATTTGTAATAATATTAACGATGGATGAATGCAATAATATTAATTTATTTAACAAGGGATTGAAACACAACTGTGGGTAACATTAAAAAATGTGCACAAACATCCTCTTTTTTTATTTTTTATTACTTCTAGTTTCTTAGTAAATTAGATTTATGAATCTCATTGTTTTTGTAGGTTCTTCTCATTCATCACTCATGGAAATTTTTATAACTCATGTAGGTAAAAAAGTTCAAAATTATTACCCTCTGAGTTAGACTCATGATTCCTTGGAGAGGTATTTCAACTCGATAGCAATATAGAAACATCGTTTTTCACTGAAGAGAAAACTTACTTTGATCTCATACCAACGACGAAAATAATAATAAGACGCTAATTAGTGAGTTTATGGAAAAGTAGTGGAAATAACCACATATAAGAGTAATATACGTATACAAGTACAGAACAAATGAATTGAACTTTATGCTCACAGAATAATTTCTCGGTAAGATCGAATGCTCAGAGCTCGCCTTCACGCAGACACACCGATGCCTATCAATCCGAGTGACCCTGTCCTTCACATTCCTGTGAAGAATACTATGGATAACGTTACACTTAAACCGTATAAAAGTTATTTTCAGAAATGTAATGGAAATTTTTACAGTTTTGAATATGCCGCTCAAGATAATAGGAATTATACAAATTTGTAAAAAACATTTTATAAACAAATATATGTAATTTAAACTTTCTATTTTCTTTTCATCAGACAAAAACTGAATTTTTGTTGGGTTATCCTAAATTATTAATTTCAGTGTTTAATAGTAATAATAATAATAATAGTAATAATAATAATAATAGTAACAATAGTAAAAATAATAGTGAATATATTGAAAGCATTAACGAATATCAAATCTAAGATTCCCTGTACCAAATCACATAGAAATAGTGAAGATTCAAATAATGCTACATGATCAGTAAATGGAAATACCAAAATACCAGGTAAAATGTATCAAAACATAGTGAAATCGGCTTGTAAATTTTAGACTCACCGTTGTAAGGTAACTTTTCGAAATACATAGCATCTCATTTATTCATGATTCGTGATTAATTCATCTCATCTGTTCATTCGACACCTGTGCAGTCACAGTTGACTCACAGTCGGCAACTTTTTATGGATTTAATTTCCTTTTTTATTTTCACCCACAAACAAAAAGTTACATTTCCAAGAACGGCCAATGAGCAACTTCACCCTCATGAAGAGCATCCCTCGTATATACCCTGCTCCCACAAACGTCATTGCTTTGCGCGCATTGTCTAGATTAGATCTGCCGGTGCGAACGTTTAACTACCCTTCTATTGCGCTTCAATTTACCAAATGGCCGCTAACAACGCGCTTAACCCAATTTAACTTTAGTGGGCCACTTTGAGTGAGCGAGATGGCTAATCGGATAGAGGTAGCTCCCTCCCTTCACACCGACCACAGCACCCTCTTCTCCAGTGACCTGCTACGGTCCAGGGGGTTCAAACGCTTTGAGAGTAGGATGCAAACGCGGATGAACTGATTTGAAAAGCCGCCTGTCGGTTGACAGATCAACTGATAGTTTTAAGAATTAGTTATTGTGCTCTGCGTTTACCCGCTTATTTTTTGTGATACATCTTATTCATTGGGGACGGTGGAACTCTGGAATAGATTTCAATTTTGAAAAACGTGAATAAGATTTTATATGTATAAAATAAGACTGCCGTATTCTAAATTGTTAAAGTTACATTAAAGAACATATTTTACTGATATAAATTTAAATGTTATTTATGAAATAACTTTAAATCATTTTGTGTATTTTGATTGTGTGAAAGTCACAATGTGTAGAAGAAATGCGTGGTTTTTAACCCACAGTATCTGTTTATAATTATCTCAATCTGAAGAGTTCTGCTCCCATTTAATGACCTTTCCACCAACATGTCTTTTTTATTATTTTCTGTAGCTTGTTTATGTACAAATGATGTTTCTTTCCCTTCCACTTTACACATTTATTCACCGTAATACGTTTCTAAGCGACAATAAAAATTCACCAAATGTTTCATTGAGTAAACTAAAGTAATTTGCGTGAAGCAAAAACTCAAATAGTAGCATCCTTTTTGAGAAAGCTATCAAAAAATTTCTAGTAGGGTCTCCTACCTGTAAATAGCAGAATGTGTGTGCAGAGTTCCTGACACGTTATGAAAATTTTGGACGTTTTGAGTTCCTGACACGTTATGAACGTTTTGAAACTAACTCTTCACCATAATCCGTATACACCAATCGAGTAACCTACATCCGTTCGTCCGTCCGTCTGTCCGTCATCCACGGTTAGACCCCTATCCATCAATCCAATGCAGGCCAAACCAATTCAATCCAGTCGATTCACCTTCCTGCCCACCAATTGAGATCTGTCTCGGTTCCCTTGCGGAGAATATATTTTTTTGAGGATGCGTTCTGAATATTGTACGAAATTTCCTTAAAAATGTGTTTTCTATCTTTAATTATCTAAAACGCGTCTTGTGTGATATACGGCACCTATACATGTGAACAATATCTCATTCGATTCCTCTCGGCAAGAAAAAGCAATTGGCTTAAATATTAGCCGCTTCTTTCAAGGATATTCTGGAAGATTTCAAGAAAAACTCGAATTGTTCGTAGTTCAGTGCATGTATGGGAACATAGTTGAAAAGCTATGAATTACTATGCTCTCTTTTCGGCATTTACAAAAACGACTCGTTACAGTAACGACTCGATGCACAATATTGACGATAATTAAACTTCATTTGTAAAAAATTGTCAAGAAAAGAAGGGTTGGAAGCATTAAGCATCTAAAACCCGTTTTGAGGGAGTTTTAAAGCAACATGCGAATGCGATTACACTCTATTGTTCTCTATGAGTCAAATCAATTAGTTAATAGTCGAATCTTTCTAGAATATCATAGGAAACATTTTTTGGGGGGGTTTCGAGGTACCTACATTTCTGATACGCTGCATACTGGCTCAATACTACCAGCATACTAGTTATAAGCAGTTAAATTTTCTAGTCTCCAGATAATCCAAGTTTAATTTGCCAGTAAATCTTCCTCAAAGAGATAATTAACTCGGCATTATCCAATAACATCATCTTATTGCTAGTAATGTCACACTATTTCTCGCTTAGTGCCACATTAAATGCTTTAACCGGAACGAACCAATGCATGCCATGCCATGACACGTAGTAGCCATCTTGCAGGGCGTTTATAACTCGGGCGGAGCAATCTGAAATCTCTCCATCACTGGACATTCGCTACGTCCTACAGCCCATAATGCGTCTCAGGAGTGGGTAATATCTGCTGACCAAGAGCCATCGTATTGCCATAGGCGAATAATGTTCACTTTGCCTCCTTTAGCGAGCCGTTATTGTGGAAATGATGTGGTACACTTACTGGATTCTCCATCTTAGTACTTAATTTCGAAGATCATTACGCTGTTTCGTTGAGACTAGAACATGTATTGTGAAGAAGTGTGAAGTACATTAACAGAAAAGGGTTATCAATTGATTTACTTTGTTATATATTTAAAGTTGAATGGTTTTTGTAAAAGCTTCGTTGCTCTTTGAAAAGTGGGTACTAAGCATTGATTTCGTGAAAAAAACTCGTTTAAACAGGTTTAAATTAACTCAATGGAAATATACGTTCAACAGTTCTCCTCTTTGTTTGCAACGGGATAATTCAACTTTTATAACTTTTCGTGCAATATTTAATTAGTTAGCAAGTCACTTATGTGTGAAAATGTAATATCATCTTCGGAGGTCAAAATGATGTAGGTCGACAATACAAAACTGAGGGACAGAATCACGTGTATTGCTGTGTTTATGTGGATTTGGTGTATGCATGAGTTCTTGTAAATACATTACCGTACGGTTGATTTATTTTGTGTGCCATCAATGTCAAGCATATGTGGTAGGTATGTAGTAATTTGACGTACGTTA